GTAGAGAAGATACGATATGGTATCACTATTGAAATACAAACTGCTATTGCCACAGATATCAGTGGACAGTTTGTGTTTATCGAATTCAATAAATCGTTTTTTATTGATTTAGATAATTTATTAATACCCAAGAACATATTGACTATTATTAACTTAAGACATGCTTATTATGATTCAAATTATAGGGTTCACATGCTTTCAACATGTGATGTGACAGTGATCAAGCAATTTCCTTCTGAAGATTACTTGAAGCAAGCCAGATCAAGGCTTGAATCTTGGGTCAAAGTTAATGGATCAATTCTTAGTGTTTATGAATCTAATGCAAAAAAACTGTGTAAATCACTTTCACCCTAGTTGGTTTAATTGTTTTTTTAATAATTTTTAAATTTTGAGATTAAATATATTTTATAACTTTATTTACACATCCACCTCAATTTCAATACAAGGCTGGATATGTACATCTTCTCAATATTATAAGAAGTGGCGAGTAGGATGTATTATATTTCTGCATTAATAAATAACGAAAAAAATAAATAATTATTTGATTGTTAAACCTTGGTTCATTCATCTAATTTCAATGGGGTGTCCCAACCAAGTCATACACTTAAAGGATCGTCTACTGCCATGAGAATTCGTGGTTTTTGATTTTACCAACCCACAAATGCTTATCAATTATCTTGGATTCTTTTTTGGATCATCTGTGTATTGATGTATGATTCTGCATATATCATTCCAGCTTCATCCATGGAGATGACACATTACACTAAATAGTATAATCTCTAACCAATCAAAAACAGCTATTAAGTACACTATACTTGATAGTGTAACACCACATATTATCTATCAACATTTATTTTTATACTCTTTATCACAAGCCTTTTTTAGCAAATTTTTACCATAAACATCATCAGATTGATAATACAGATGTAAGATTAGAAATGTTATAAATACACAATCAATTAGAACTAATTGGTGTTACATATTCCCTTTCAAATTAATTATGATTTATACCCAACCAAGTCCTGATACTGTAGCTAGGTTTAATCAATTGCTTAATCTTCGGGAAGCTAATGAGCAAGAAAGAAACAAGTTACTGAGGAGACTTTAAGACTTTAGGTAAAAATCATGTTTAAATAGCACATCATACCCAATATCAGATGTGTACAAAAATAAAACCGATGATGTAATAATAAACTCTACTTACTAGTCAAATTTATTACTAGTACAATAAAATTCTGCTTACAATTTAATTTTTTGTAGTGCAATGGCAACCACATTTTTAGGAGTAGAGAGTAGTTTTGGGATTGGTGGGGTTTGTGGTTGTTTAATTAGTAAAGGTACTATTTTATTGTTAATTAAAAAAACATGAAATAAATATTTATCCAAAAGTCTTATAAAAGGAACTTTGCACATTCTTATAACACAGTACAAAGAGTACAAAGTGCCTTTAAAAAGCTTGTTGACTTGATTAAAGATAATGCAGAATCCAAGGTATAATAATGCATTCCATTTTTTTTTGAAACATATATTTTGAATTAAGCCAACAGTCCATTTCTCCTAGGTGATCAGTCAAATCGAAAATGAAGTTAATGAAGAACTACGCGAAATGCATGATGTGGATATTATAGAACTTGAATTACCAGAAATAAAGGCCAAGGGCAAGAAACGTGATAAAATTTTTGAAGTGATCCATGATATTTTTAATGCTGAAATTGTTGACAATAAATTGTTCATCAAGGTAAGGTACCATTTTTGTTTTATAATTATTTTACATGCATTTTCTAATTCTTTTGTTACTATTCAAGTTTAATGGTGGGATTAAAGCAGAAATACATTATAAGTTGACGAGTTCACTTAACCAACAACTCCCACCAACTTGGTGGACTCAAATTGATACAATATGTGTGGTTAACGGTAATCAGTATCGACCTGATGTGGGCGGTTGGAATCCTAAACCAGCACGTAATCAAAGGCTTAACCCTATAATTAATCTATGTCCACCACCGTTGCTGTGGATTGAGGTGAAGATCTTATTCCCTTATCTTCAGAATTATGCAACTAATTCTTGATATAATCAGCCTAATCAAATATTTATAGGTGACCTATGACAATTCTGGGGATCGTGATAATGCCATGAATAAATTTGCATGTGTTCAACCCTATTGCCTGACCACAGAATTTGTAATAATTGTTGTTCCAGCTACTGAAACTGCCTTTCCAGCAAATCCAAATCCAGGTGTCGCTTCAATGGTGGGAACACCCAAAATGGCTCATCCTTCTCATGCTCCATATCTCGGCCATTGGCCTGTGGGCAATACAGTTTGTTGGTACAAGATGAAATGGAATAGGCATCTTGTATTAGGATGTGGAGCGAACATAGATTTTAATGATATACTTCAAGTCTTAACATAAAATTTATAATCAACAGATCAAACTATTATTGTTTTATTATTATACTTTCTTTGTTATGTATAAAAATTTATATGATCTGTGTTAGCGAAATTGGTATCAGAATCTAATTTGCAATAAAAAACATTTGTGATGAATATTAATAAAAAAAAAATTACAACGAATGTAATGAGTGCGCAAAGCGAAATATTCATAACTTTATTAATTTTTTTTTGCTTTATAAATATAGTTAGGGTACTTTGTAACCCGCTCTGCATAATACATTATTTTCTATTTCATGTTTCCTAAGTGTAATGTGCATCATATTAATTATTTATCACAATAGCAAATTTCCATATTTCACGAATTCGTGCATATGATACATTATATTTTAAAGCTAATATCGGTAATGCATTTCCTGTACCCTTTGCAGTAATAATATCCCTAATTTGCTTCGGGTGATAAGCATGTAGCACCTGATCTTAATCTTCTAAACATTTTATATACGCAGAAAAATAATTTATTGCTTGTTAAATGATATTCAATTTTATGCCTTTATAGATACTATTTGGATTGAATTCTGATATTTATTTGTATACAGTCAAACCTCGTCACAGCGGACCTCGCCACAGCGGATTTCTTGTTACAACGGATTTAAATATTGGCCCCTT